AGAGAAAAATGCAGGGCTCGACCGGGGATTGAACCCGGGACCTCTCCCACCCTAAGGGAGAATCATACCACTAGACCATCGAGCCGTACAGGAGGAAAGGGATCCTGGGCTTGCCAACACCTCCTGGTAGCTCAAATGGCCCAGCTGCAACCCTTCTGGGGCGCGCTGTGTCCGCTTCCAAGGCATGATATGGCTCTCTAGAGATGTTTTGAGCCCAATTGAGCGTCCCTGCAAAGTTGCAACGCCCAGCGGACAGTTCGAAATTTGGCAAAAAATTCATGTTCACATCAGGGTTTGAACCTGTCACCTCAGCATACCCATGCATAACGTTGTTTTGGGTGGCTGAGGTTCGAACCCCAGTGCGGTCATCCATTATTTGCTGATTTTGTTTTTGTTGCTACGGCCACAAAATGCACGCAATCGTGTGCAAATTCAATCCAAAACTATGATCCATTATGAAAAACAGCAGACCGGGTGGCCACTGTAGTGATGAGGGCCTTGTTTTGCAAGCTGAAAATCGTCATGAACAGAATGGGGATTGAACCTGGGAGCTTTTTGGCCTTGTAGTTGGCTTATGCATGAACCTCACTTAACAGACCAGGGATTCAAGCTGGGAGCTCCCTCGCCACAGCCTTCACAGGCAGGGCAATGGGATGCAAACTGCAAGTGCCTTGCAAATGCAAATCAGCTGTCCTTTTGTCGTCAAATCGCGAGACGAGTTTGGTCTACGGAAATGCAAAAAGGAAAGTGGCAGCTTGAAGTCAGAGCAGCCAAAAATATGTTTTGAATGAAAACGGTACTCCGCAACAGGGAATCGAACCCTGGCCGTCACGGTGAGAGCGTGAAATCCTAACCACTGGACCATTGCGGACTTGCGGTTCAGAAGTCAAATATTCTACAAGGATGTGTCAAACTAGTGCGGAAGCAACGTGAGGCTTCACCCAGCCTCGCCAAACAAGGACCTATGGCCAAATGGATAAGGCGCCTGACTACGGATCAGGAGATTCCAGGTTCGATCCCTGGTAGGTTCGTCCTTTTTTTTCCTTCCTACTCCCTTGCATGACCATCCCAAGGTGCAACAAGCAACTTGCAAAAAAATATCGATTTCAACAAAACTGAGGAGAGTGGGATTCGAACCCACGCCTCCGAAGAGATCACGGCCTTAACGTGACGCCTTAGACCGACTCGGCCATCTCCCCAGTGAAAAAACTGGCCTGGGAAGTCGACTTTGTTGTTTCACACCTCAACAAGCTCAACTCACGTCACTGCAAGCCATGAACAAAAAACATGTGCGGAGTGGGAGGCTCGAACTCCCGACCTTTGGATTATGAGACCAACGCTCTACCGACTGAGCCAACTCCGCCTGGTCTTGAAGAAGCACTTTGGGCAACTGGATGGATCATCCACCTGCGTCATTGGAGAGCAGGCTCTAGTGGCGCAATTGGTTAGCGCGTTCGACTGTTAATCGAAAGGATGGTGGTTCGAGTCCACCCTAGAGCGTTCATTTTTTTTTGTTGTCAGTTTCAAACACAACACTACACGCTGAACATGCACACACACGCCAAAAGTGCAAAAAGGAAAAAACATGGTCCCAGACGGGGTCGAACCGTCGACCTTGGCGTTATTAGCACCACGCTCTAACCAACTGAGCTATGAGACCTTG